GTGAAGTTAACTACAAAAAAAAGAGAGAAGACACAAAATGCTAATCAGAAAATAAAGAGGCAACATCACTACAAATTCTATGGACATTAAAAGGATAATGGAAGAATTCATAAACAATACTATATCCACAAATTTGATAATTTAGATGAAAGGATCCAACCCTTTGAAAGACAGAGTCTGGCCAAACTAACACGAGAAGAAACAGACTACTTGAATAGATCGATATCTACTAAAGAAATTGCATCCATCATTAATAACCTTCCAAAACATAAAGTACCAGGTCCAGATAGGTTTACTGGTGAATTCTACCAAATATTTAAGGGAGAATATCGATTCTCTACAATCTCTTTCAGAGGACAGAACAGAGGGAATACTTTCTAATGCATTCTATGAGGCCAGCATTATTCTAATACCAAAACCAGACAAAGACATTACAAGAAGAAAAAAACTACAGATCAATACCTAAAATGGGCACAAATGCAAAAATCCTCAACAAAATATTAGCAAATCAAATCCAAAAAAGTATTAAAAGAATTATGCATCACAACAAGTAGGATGTATCCTACCTATATAAAGCTGGTTTAACATTCAAAAATCAATTAATATAATCCAACAGCATTGAAAGAGAAGAACAGAGAGCACTGACACTACCCAACTTTAAGACTTACTATAAAGCTACAGTATTTCAAGATGGTATGATGGTATTGGTGAATGAAAGATTAATGGAACAGAAGAGGGCCCAGAAACAGACCCACAAAACTACAGTCAACTGATCTTTGACAAAGGAGGTAAGATGATGCAATGCAGAAAAGATTATCTTTTCATCAAATGCTGCTGAACAAATAGGCATATACATGTAAAAAAATGAATCTAGACATAGACCTTGCACCTTTCACAATAATTTACTCAAATGGATCACAGACCTAAATGTAAAATGCAAAACTATAAAACTTATGGAAAATAACATAGTAGAAAATCTAGATGATCTTGAGTTTAGTGATGACTTTTTAGGAAAAAAATACCAAAGGCATGATCCATGAAAGAAATAATTGATAGGCTAGACTTAACTGAAATTAAAAATTTCTGCTCTGTGAAAAGACACAGCCAAAGAATAAAAAGACGAGCCACAGACTGGGAGAAAATAGTTGCAAAAGAAATAGATGCTAAAGGACTGACATCCAAAATACATAAAAGTTAAAACTTAACAATAAGAAAACAAGCAACCTGATTAAAAAAGTGGGCCCAAAACCTTAACAGACACTTCACCAAGGAAGATATACAGATGGCAAATAAGCATATAAAAAGATGCCCACATCATGTATCAGGGAAATGTAAATTAAAACACAACTATTAGAATGGCCAAAACACAAAACACTGACAACACCAAATGCTGGTGAGGATGTGGAGCAATAGGAACTCTTATTTACAGTTGGTGGAAATACAAAATGGTCCATCCACTTTGGAAGGCAGTTTAGCAGTTTCTGAGAAGAAAAACTAAACATACCCTTTCCATATGATTCTTGGCACTTAATAATCACACTCCTTGATATTTATTCCAAAGAGCTGGTAACTTATGTCCACACAAAAACCTGTACACAGATGTTTGTGGCAGTTTTGTTCATAACTGCCAAATTTCAAAGCAATCAAGATATCCTTCAGTAGGTGAATGGATAAGCAAACTATAGTATATCAACAATGGAATATTATTCAGCAGTAAAAAGAAATGAGCTATCAAGCTATGAAAAGACATGAAGGAAACTTAAATACATATTACTAAATGAAAGAAGTCTGAAAGAGCTATATACTACATGATTCTAATGTATAACATGGAAACGTCAAAACTATGGAGACAAAAGATCAGTAGTTACTCAGGGTTAGGGAGGAAGAGGATGATGAATAGGCAGAGCTCAATTTTTAAGGCAGTGAAAGGACCCTGTATAAATACTACATGCCATTCTACATTTGTCAAAACCACCAAGAATGTACACCACCAAGAATGAACCCTAATATAAACTATGAACTGTGGGTGATCATGTTGTCAATGTAGGTACATTAACTGAGACAAATGTTATCACTATGGTGGAAGATGCCAATAATGGGACTGCTAAGCATGTGCAGGGATGGGAAATATCTCTATCACCTACTCCATTATGCATGAATTTAAAACTGTTCTAAAAAAAACTCTTTAAAAAAAAGTATCCACAAGGATGTTAACAACCACACTATTTATAATAGGAAACAAACAGAAACAATGATTATGTCTAACAGTAGGGAGTTAATTATAAATTATATTTTATATAATTATAATGCAAATTATAGAAGAATATGCATCCATTAGAGTATGTAACGATATGGCACAAAAATTCATGATATTAAGTGATAAAAGAAGTTATAAAACAGCATGCACAGTAAGCACTATTTTTGTTTTTAGAAATATATTTATGCAACAAAATAAAAGGGAAGAAGGGAAGCAAAAATGTGTTATCTGTAGATAGGACAATTGTGGGTAATTTTTATTTTTTATTTAGTCTCTAATTTGAAAAATAATGATGCATTATATTCATGGTTAAAATACAATGTCATTAGAAAAATTATGTAGCTCAGTAGATACTACCTAAGTAGATTTTATGATCCTTAAGAAGGGACCATTTTTTTTGTTATTAGCCAGCAAAAAGTATAATGTTTCTTCATATACACTAGGGTTCAGTAAGTGCTTGATGACTAGATCGACCAAATGAATAATGGCTTCAGAATACTTCAACATTTAACTACACTACTGCCATTTACTCTACTAGTCATTCTTACCTACAGAATTTCTGAATATTCTCTGCTAATTAAGCACGTTAAAAATCACTACCCTATGCGAGAGTGCCCTCTGGTGGTTTCACTGACAATTATTGTTAATTTGAGGTATGTTAATCCACCTCACCAAATGAAAATAGGAGATGGACTGCAGAGTGAGATTTCAAGCTAAATTTATTCCATTTAAAGGACCATCCCACCCTATGTACTTTTTAAATTTCTGAAAAATCAGACAAGTAAGTGGACCTTTTGTAAAATCTCAGTGACGGTGATAATAGGTTACTATCCTTGTGATGGAGAATAGGAGGAGCAGAGGGGAGGTGTTGGTAGTGCTGGAAATGTAACTTATTAAGCAAAACTAAGTAACATCAACCCATGAAAACCAAAATTCCAGGACCTATGAAGTGTTTAGTCTGTATTTCCAATACAGTAAGATCAAAGTTAATTCTCTAAAGCATTCACATGTGAATGTGTGGTTTGGGCATCTTGCACTTAACAATCTCTATTTAGTAGGTCTTAGTTCTTAGAAGAAAACTAGTTTATTTAAACAACTTATTTTTTATTCTTCCTACTTTTATAAGATGGCATATATAAACCAACCAAAAAAAAAACAAAAATCATTTTTCAAAAATTTGTCATCAAACATGGCTGGTATTAATAAACTACTTAAAACCATTTCCTTTCAGTAACAGAGGGTGGCCATTATTAGTTATTTCCTTTACTCTTTTTATTCACTATTCCTTATATTTTACTGAACACTGGAACCATGATCACCTAGAACTCCTTTATTAAAAGAATTAAACAGACTCAATGTGAACTCATTTTTCACATTAAATTTTCAAATATCACAAAATATCACAAATATTTTACAAGGTTAAACCTTTCTACCTTCTTAAAAGATTCCTTGTGGAAAGCAGTATGGAGGTTACTCAAAAAGAAATACCATTTGACCCAGGAATCCCACTTCTAGGAATTTACCCTAAGAATACAGCAGCCCAATTTGAAAAAGACAGATGCACCCCTATGTGTATCGCAGCACTATTTACAATAGCCAAGAAATGGAAGCAACCTAAGTGTCCATCAGTAGATGAATGGACAAAGATGTGGTACATATATACAATGGAATATTCAGCCATAAGAAGAAAACAGATCCTACCATTTGCAACAACATGGATGGAGCTAGAGGGTATTATGCTCAGTGAAATAAGCCAGTAAGAGAAAGACAAGTACCAAATGATTTCACTCATATGTGGAGTATAAGAACAAAGGAAAAACTGAAGGGACAAAACAGCAGCAGAATCACAGAACCCAAGAAAGGACTAACAGTTACCAAAGGGAAAGGGACTGGGGAGGATGGGTGGGAAGGGGGGGATAAGAGCGGGAAAAAGAAAGTGGGCATTA